CGGAAGAGAGGCTGGTTTTTCTTGTAATACTTGAGATGTTAAAAGTTCTAATGTGCAAACACGACTCATTAATTTCATTGACTAATTTTTCTTAATGAAAGGTGCACCCCATATTAATAACCGGTTCCATCTACAACTATTAATCGTAAGCTGAACTGTACATTTTAACTTGCATGTCTGGACTCACCGGCACTAAACCGGGCTGAGGTTTCAGCCAGTGTTTCTGGTGGGAACCTGGCCTTCTCAAAGATGGCAGCGTTTCTGAGCTCTGCTTTCACAAGCGATGACGCAAACGTCCGCAGAGCGCGTGGAAAGGGATGTCCCAGGGATTGCTACTGCCTTGAGGGCATCTCGGTGAATGAACTGATGCATCTTGGTGGCCTTTCCCTAATTAGAAGGGGGGGGGGGGTGGAACAAGCAAACAAACAAAGAAGCTGAAAGAAATTGCCAGGGTTGTGTGTTCTGGTGTAATGATGCTGTGTTGGGACTGTGCCAGTCTGGGGTCGCGTACCGCAGGAAGGAGGGGCTGGCTAACGTGGAAGGGACCGGGTTGTATCTTTGGGTGGGTAGGGGAGGCTGAAAGACTATCAAATCTAGGGTACAATCACAGATCTTAGCTGTGTAGGTCAGTGTAGCTCTATTAGTATACGGAATGCTAAATGTGTGGATGTTTCTATGCAGATTGTTCTATCCTCTTGAATACTATTGACTTTGCAAGTAGGATTCAGAATATTCATCTGCTCTTGTTTTTATATAGGAGGAAAGAGAATTACTGTCCACACCCAGTATGTCTTTAAAAAAAAACAAAAACAAAACAAAAAACCATTCATGTTGCCTTTCAGAATAAGGAAAAATACTTTACTTTTTTGTTGTTGTTGAAGTTACTGAAAAGTGTAGACCAGGAAGGGTGTGATTCTTGCAGATGGGGGGGGGGGGAAGTGCTTTCCAATTGATCTGTGGCAAGATTTATCCTTCATTATTTTTCCAATTTAATTTTATCCACAGTGGAATTGAGGTCACTTGATGTTTTTCCCTTAGTCTGTCACCTGAATGCATTTGCAACAGTTAGATGGGGCATTGTCTATTCAGCCAGAAAGTTCTAACCGCATCCTCTCGTTAAACACTAGGTAACTGTTTCTGGAGGCAAGATGGGGTTGATAGTAAGTATTTAAGACGATGAAGTCATCTACAGTTGAGAGTCATGATCTGTCACCATGAATTGATACAGATGGGCTGTTGGTCTGGTAGGAAGCCCTAGCTTAATGAAACTGCTGAATGGCAAATTGTTGCTTTTACCAAGCCACTTCTATAAGAGCTGTGTTACTTTTACGTTTTTTTTTTATATATATATAGACCTGTATCGCACAATAAACCATGACGAGGCACTCTGAAGAGCGATCGGCCCAGGCTGTGGTGCTGTAAAGCATTAGGCTAAGGACTAACCGTGCCGAGGTTCCCAGCCTGAGCCGGGGCTTGCGGCGGGAGCCGGGTTGAAGAGGGCAAGCAGCCGGTTTGGTAAATCCGCTGGGTTCCTGGGCTGGAGCCGTGCCCGTGTCTCAGGCGCCCCGCAGGCGCGGGGTGCTGTAGCTGGTGACGCTGAACGGTGGTTCCTGTCCTAGCCAGGTGAAGCTTCAGTTGTGTCCAGGATGGTAAATCTTTTTGCGATAATTTAACTGCTCTCCAGAATAATTCTTCCTCCCTCCCCGCCCTCCCGCTTCTTTTTGCACGGAGGACGTGTGCGTATCCGATCACATCTGCTCTGGCGTATTTCTCCAAATGCATTTCCCGCTTCCCCTTCTTTTCTCACTTGCAAATATTAAAAGTGCTTTTGATTTTTAAAATGTTAGTATCCCAAAATAGCCTTACTGGTCAAATTGACCAAAGATAAAGTGTTAAATATTTTGTAAAAAAAAAAATAAAAAAAAAATCTTGGCGTAATTTTAAACCCAAAATAAGCTCAGTTATTTATTCAGTTTTATACTATATAGAAACTAAACTACATTGAGGGGACAGGGAAGGAAAACCATGGTGGGTTGTGGTGTTTACAGTCTTTTTGAAGTCCCGTAGCTAAGACAACTATTGTTATCCATCTTCCCTTTTGCTGTTACAGTTTCTAATGTGTACTGTATGTATTAATATTGCACAAATTGTGGAGAAATATATGGTTTATTTTTCACAGCAGAATCTCACAAGACTCACTTCCTTTACAAGTGTTACAATTTAAATATTTACCAAACTTGTTTTCATAATACTGGGAGCCGGCTGCTTTTTATGAATTTGTGCTGACTATTGACATTATTTACTGTATAAATAATTTATCATTTGTACTATTGTATCATAATGTCTGTATCTTTGTGTCATTTTTCCCGAGCGATGTCACAAATGTGATATTTAATAATGCCATCAGAACAGTGGAAAGACAAGGGGTTTGTAGGTGACTGGTCAGAATTAAAACTGTATTGCTTATATTCCAGCCGTGTTGCTTTTTCAAGACTCTGCGTAGCGTTTATGATCCCGTTCAAAAAAAAACCTGTCGCTGCCATGCTTGATTTAGTTTTCGAGAAAGTTGATGGATCGGTTGAGGTGATTTAAGGTTTGTGCTAAAACTCCTCGGTGCCAGGAGAAATCTAACCGTTATTGAGAGTAACGCTCCTTGTACATTGTCAATGTGATTTCTTCGATGCGTTCATCGCTTTCCTGGGGCAGGCCTGCTCTTACTATGAGAAAGGAGGGTTTCTTAGAGATCACTTAAATCGGAATCAGTTGAGACCTTACTAACTCAATAAAAATGAAGACTTGTTGTGTTGCAGGTGACTGAATTGCTTCTTTAAACCACACTACCCTTCAAAGAGCACTTTCGGAGGGACGAGCAAGTACTGCCTCGGTGGAGGCTTCCGTATTTATGTCACGGCAGAAGCCTGGGGGAGACGTGCCTTTTAAAGCCATCGCTCGTGGAATAGGGGTTGGGGAACCGTGACAAAACCGACTTTGGGGGTCCTCGCTTCCCGTCTGTGCGGTAGTTGAGTCTCGCCCTTCCCGCAGCATTGGCTCTGCCCCATCGATCAAGTGGCCTTGCGGATGGGGTGGCAGCGAGCCTGCCTCCAGCTGGGAAGTGATTTCAGCTTCTAATTCTGGATGGTTTAAATCGAAGGGTACTTCATTAGCAGGCTATTTCCAGAGCTACCTCCCCGGAGCCCATCCAGGTTTCCTGTAGTTATGGTTTGCTGCCAATCAGACTGATCACTAATCAAATACTTAATTTCTTAATGCTGAAACTGCGGTGGTGCTGGAGACCCGACTATCGGAAAGGCGGCCGGGGGTGGTGGTGGGGGGAAGCATCTGTTTCGGTTTCAGATCTGTGGTAGAGAGCTGGCTGGGCGTGTCGTGCAAACCCACTGCGACGGTAAGGCTCCCGTTTCCCTGGAGAACGAGGCTGCCTCCAGTCGGGGCTTTCGATTCGTTTTGCTTCTGTGTTTGGGCCGCTAAGGAAAACAGAAAACCCTCCTTTGCCAGGGGTGGCAGCCCAGATACCTGCTGCTCTTTGTACCTCTCATTTTTACCGAAGGGTGCTTTCTGCTCCCGTGCAGGAGGGCTCTTCTGTGCACGTGTGCGTATTGCTCCTCTGGCCGGTCTCTCTTTTTCTGTGATCAGTACTTCTTCACTGTTCTACTCCGGGCTCTTGAAATGGCATGTTTTAAAATAAAGGTGCCCGCTACAGGAAAGATTTAGGAAGGGCTCGAAGGGGAAACTTTTGTGATGACTCTGTAACACTCTTAAAAGGAGCAGAATACTGCAGACTTGCAAGCTGAGGGGGTGCTGGAGGGAGCCTGAGCTGATAAAGCCTGTTGTGAGAGAGATCTGGCTGCGGCTGAGCCTTCCTCTGACCTTGGGCAAGCCGCTCTCCCCCTGTCCCCGGGTTTCCTCTTCCTCTTCTGTGAAGTTGACGTGGTATTTGCCTGCTTCTGCGGAGGAAAAGGGCTATCTGGATGAAGTGTTATCTAGAGGCATGCCCTCATCCGCACCGCTGTTGCCAAAGTATTTTTGCTGAATACGTACATTGCCGTTACCTCTTGTTTGTGCTGGGCCGAGTGGTGCAACAGCTCTGCTCTTCCGCTCGTTTTCATCGAACTGTGAGAAAATGGTTTGGGCCAGCTCGCGCTATGGCTTTGGCCGGCAAGACTTCCGCAACTGCCTGCAATCTACGTTTCAGAGAACCAACACGATTTATACAGCCCCTCACGTTAAAAACTTCCGCCTTTTTAAAGCTAGCTGCCGTCTGCCTTCCAGGTAGACTCCTCCCTGTATTGTGAGTTGGGACCCAGATGAACACTGATTTCGTAAGGACAGAAGTTTGGGAGCTCGGGGTTATAAACGGTGAAGAGCCAGCGTTGTACACGGTGGTAGCAATCCCGTCTCGTCATGTTTTGCTGTCAATCGATTGTACCCTGTAATTGCTGAAGACTGGGGGTTTCAATGAGTGGAAGCTCCCTTTGGTGCTTCGGACGTCCCTGCCAGTTACCCGTTAGGGTGGTTAATTGGCAGCAGTCTGGTGATCAGTAGGGGATTGGGATTGGCATCCTACCAGCGTAACACAGCCCAGAGGTTTGCAGGGGTTGAAATAGTAGATTATGAACGGGGGAGCAGGGAGATACCGTGGGAGGAGATAGCAAATCCTCTGGCTTCGCCGGGGGCAGCCCGGAGCTGCACCAGTCCTGGACTGAGTAGTGGGACCCTTGGATATTTGGTAAATATCTCTCCGAAGAGATTAGGGGAAAATCTATCCTTTCCCCAGTGGCTCTTTAACGTGGGGTGGGGCAAACTTCATTCGTAAGTAAACTGGTGACCAGCAGAACCGTTAGCTGCGACGTGCATTGAAGCTCTGGTCAAAAATGCTGTTGAAGTGCAAAATACTTCTAAAGCACCTGGACATCTTCCTGAGCTGCTGTGTGCAGAGCACAGGTACTCGTAACGCAGC